CAGAACTATTGGAACTTGAGGCAGACAGTTAAAACTCTTTTGGTTTATGATGTGCTGCTTATGAGCACTTGTGCATGATGAAAGTCCTTGGAGTCCAGTGAAAGCATTAGGCACTCCCAGAAAACTCCCTCGTTCCTCCCAGCAGCCTTCTGTTGGACCAGGAAGTCTTGGTACCCGCTGCATGCTTGAAGTAAATAATAAGCAGAAAAATCAACTTGAGGCAGACAGTTAAAACTCTTTTGGTTTATGATGTGCTGCTTATGAGCACTTGTGCATGATGAAAGTCCTTGGAGTCCAGTGAAAGCATTAGGCACTCCCAGAAAACTCCCTCGTTCCTCCCAGCAGCCTTCTGTTGGACCAGGAAGTCTTGGTACCCGCTGCATGCTTGAAGTAAATAATAAGCAGAAAAATCATCTTAAAATCTTCATCAAGAGCTTCTTTCTCTGTTGTGAAAACCCACACAAGCAGAAGATTGATTATTGTAATTCTTTGCAGGCCACCTTTAGATACCAGTAGCACTTATGACAAATGAGGCTCAATTAGGCAAGTAATATTCTCTCCCACATTGCATAGCCGTGTGGGAGATGGAAAAGGTGCTCAGTATCTCGTGTTCCCCATCTGCTCTGCACCTAATTAGTGGGGTCTGATGAATGGTTCCACTGGTGTGACTCAGGTGCTGACAGAGGCAGGAGCCTCAGCCTGGGTGGGCAGTGCCCTTGCCTGTGTGGTTGACGTCTCCCAAGAAGTGCCAGCAGAACTGGAATACGTATGGATATTCAGGAGGGGTTTCAGAGCCTGGGCTGTAATTGGGGGCTGCTGGGATGGAATGGGCTGTAGTCAGGGATGTTTGTTCCTGCTCTTTGCCCATCTCTGTGTGCCAGCAGCCACACCTGTCCCTGAACTCTCTGCTGGGACCTGGTTGGCAGCAGGTGTCTTTGCAGCGAAACACTGAAGTGTTTGTCTGCTTAAAGAGCCTCTAGGAACCACCAGCTTAGAGTGCAGTATAGACGATTTTGTGCACACACCTGTTGGCTGGATTTGTAACAGAGAGATCTTGACCTTGATGGTGCAGGAGGCAGATCTGAGGACTGTTAGCAGCTTCTGTGGTCTTAATCATCCAGGACCAACTCCATTTCAAGAGCTGAATGTCCCACTGGAGTCTGAAATCCCTGAGATGCAGCAGCTGTGTGGGGAAGTGTCTGCTACATCTTGTGTTGTGCATCCCACTCAGTGATTTGCTGCTCTGCACCCCTTGGGGTCCATCTCCTCTTTCACCTGCTGCAAAGAAAGTGACCCAACAGCACAATGCTGTTAAGCAAGCATGACATTGTTTCTTGCAAGGAAATGTTTCCCTTGCAAGACTCCCAGGCAGAGCCTTTCCCCAGCGAGCCAAAACTCAGGAAGACATAATGTCTTGAGGACAACTGCCAGAATTTTTCCCTGTTAGAGACTCTTGTGCTGAGCTGTGCTGCCATGCTTGCCTGTTCGGTATCTGTGACCTCCTGAACTTTCATTCCAGCTGGAGTTGTCATGTTACACAAAACCATTGATCCTGTCTAGTACAACTATTGTTGGAAACTTTTTTTTTCCCTGGCAGTTAACTGATCCTCTGACTGTAACCAAACTGCTTGAGGACAGAGCTTAATATCCTCGGCTGGCACCTCAGCAAGGCTTAGCAGAATGCTGCATTGTGGAGCTGGACATTGTGTGTAATCTCCTCTGACTGCTCTTTTATTGAAACACTACGAGCTTACAAATTCAGTATCTCCCTCGTTTTCTGTTATGAGAAGCCCAGATCAGGAGAAGTGGGAATATGGGAGAGAAATGGAGTTGCAAAGGCAGCAAAGCATCACGTTTGGGGTCCCAATGCTGAGACTTTACTATATCTGATACTGTTAACTGTTTGTAGGGAATGTGTCTGTTTTTTCATGGATGAACAAACCATGTTATGACCAGGAAAGCTTTTTTTTGGCTTAGTGATTCCTTTGCAGTGACTGGCTGATACATAGTGGGATTCTGTGACCTCCCTGCCTGGCCAGACTGTTGACTTGTTATTTGCCTTTGTTTAGGGTTGTTTAACACATCAGGTGATTGATTATCTGACTTGTTTCTAACTCAGGCTCCAGTTTGTCAGGCTGTGTGTGCTAACACTGCTGTCTGTTTCAGCTGGGAAGGGGTACCCCTGCAGCACATGTAACATAGTGCTGAACTCCATAGAGCAGTACCAAGCTCACATCAGTGGCTTCAAACACAAGAATCAGTAAGTAACATTCTTGTCTAAGTGTGTCTCCAGTCTCGTTGTCCAAATCAATGGCCTAAATATAACTTAAAATGCAGTTCTGAACGTGTGTTTCCAGCTGACTTCCAAGCAGAACAGCAGGGGCTGTGCAGGCTCACTGTGTGTCCTGACGCCGCTGCAGCAGCTCCCTCTGCAGTCAGCCTGGCCATGCTGCCGAGCTGGAAGTGCCTCCAGTTGCTTTTTATTCCAGATATTTCAGCTCAGCACGGACCTTTGCAGCGAGCGTGTCCAGCCTGACACCATTAAACACAGTTTCTCTTAACAACTGAGGGTTTAATTTAATTAAGGACTGGCTCAGTGGAGATCTGCTTGCCATTCTGATCTCCCTTGGGGTTGCTTGTCTTAAAATTTGGCATGTAAGTCAGCACGCTCCAGAAACCTGGGCTATGTTCCTGAACTCACTCTCACAGCTGGCAAGTTAAATAATGGCATCCCCTGCATATATTATTAACTGGGAAAAAAATTTGGCTGCCTGATGATTAATACCAAAAATCCTTGTTTGGACACTGTCAAAGTTCAGATCTCTGACTTCAAAGCCTGCATGCACTAAAAGAGGCTCAGTAATGAGCCTGGGTTGGTTAGAAAGCTCTTTAGAAGGAAGAGCTATTAGGAAACCCAACCTAAAGTGAGGACAGGCTCCTAGCCAGATTTCACAGAAGGGGCAGGAAGAAAACTGGGATCTCTTGTTGCCTGTCTATGGAATAACAGCTCCACGGTCTGTCAGCTCTCTGGAGTACTTGATTGGAAAACACATGCTCCATCTTTCATCCCAGGAAAATTTCAGCTCCTGAACAGCACAACTGGATCAGTGATTAGCAAGTATCCCATCCTGGAGAGATAACACTGAGGATGTTCCCAACACACACAGACATAAATGTTCCCTTTAAGGACATGGATGTTGGAGCTGTTGCAGCCACACTACTCCCTCTCAGAAAGCTTCTCTGGATTCAGCTATTCAGTCCTGTTCCAGGGCAGCTCCTGCAGCCTGTGGAGAGGCAGGATGCTTGCTTTGTAATGGGAGCTCTTTAGCAGTCCTTGAGCTGTGCAGCAGCTAATTCTGCCATGCCGAAGGTGTCTGTTTACACACAGGCACGGAGAGCAAGGATGCACTTGGAAGGTTTTCTGGCAAGTTGTTGAGTTGGCTGCAGTGGGCTGTTGCTCTGCTGACAGCCGTGCCTGCTGAGCAGTGATTGCAGCTGGCACATTTCAGAGCATTTGTGACACTGTCTCCTGATTTTTTCCTTTCTCTTCCTCTTGCTCCTTTCCCTGTGCAGGATGCCAGGAGCAGTGCCAGTTGTCGGACCATTCCCGCCACAACAGTATGTCCGGGAAGAGTCAACTGCCCCAGGAGGCTACAGTTACTTCAGCCAAGACTTCTAGAGCAAGTTGCAGCACTGTTCTTGGAGTTGTTGGTGGCCCCAGAACGCACATCCTTTGCCAGCCCACAATGGTTTCATTATCCCTCTGGATAAGCAAAGCCCTACCCTCCTGTATGCGCTCGTTGAGCAGAACAGGGACTGAATCTGTCAGGAAAAGGATCCAGTTGGAAGAGACTTGCTAGACAGCAAATACTTCACTCCCTTAGAGTAGTTTTCATTGTGTAATTGCTTCCTGTGAAGGTGGGTGCTGTGTGAGAGGAAGTGTGTACCTGGTGTAAGGAGGGTTTGGCAACAGGCTGGTAGTGGCCACCTCCTCCCTCACCAGAGCAAATCATGGATTCGTGCACCTGGAGCTCAGCATCCCATGCTCAGGGGTGGCTGTTGCTGGAGGAGATCTCCTAGACCTTGGCTAGGTCGTGTTTTTGCAGCATGGATGAGACATGGTGCAGGTTGCCTGGCTTTGTACAGGCCTAAAATAGGAAATATCCAGCATGGCATCTCTTTCCATGCCTCCTCCAGTCAGGTTTGTGTGCAGAATTCCATGAGCCAATGATTTTCATCAGAGCCACAGCTGTTGGTTCCAGAGCTGAGTGGTTTGGGTCTGTCTAACAAGTAGTTCAACTTCTGGTGTGCAAACTGCTGCTGATGGGAGTGAGGGGCTGTGAGAGGGGTTAGAGCTCTTGGCTCTCCCAGCCCTGTGCTCCAAGGATTTCCACGTGGAAGGAAGTAACTGTTTAGCCTGGTTTCCTATGGAAACAGGTGTACATGATCATTCACCGTGTGTGTCTTTACCCCCGTGACTTAAACCAATCTCAGCCAAACTTGGCAGCGGTGGAGATCTCCAAGGTCTGAATGTAATCAGCAGAGGAAGGTAGAGCAGGCTGAGTTCATCTCTAATTCTGTCAGGGTCTGCATGAAAGTGCAGCATTTTCCCTACTGCCACCAAAACACTCTGGGGAAGGAGATTGTAAGGGAAAAGAGAGGTAATAAATCTAGATGTAGCAGAAAACTGTAGTATAGGTTGGTCAAATTGTTAGCTGACTAAAAAGCTACAAATCCTTTGGAAATGCCCTTTGCAAGTCCTTCATTAGACACTACTTGCCCAGCCTCTCTCTTCAAAGTTCCTACACATCCATAGCATCCTGGAAAAGGGATGTTCTGTATTTCAAACACAGAAATTAAGACAGATGGTGCTAATGTCTAGGTCTGTTAGAGAAGGCCCTGGGAGGAAGGGCAAGCACCTGAGACTGCTGTGTGTTCTGGACAAGTTGTTTAGATGCTTTGCCTTAAGCAAAGGTATTGCCTGTTCCCTCCCAACCCTCCACAGGAGCTGTGTGCCCTGGGCTGCCCAGTGCCAGTGCTCCAAGTCAGGCACCCCATGGCTTTGTCCCAGTGTCACTGCCTCTGTGGAGCTGAGGCTTTGCTAGTCCATGGTAAGCATCCTGCTGTTTTCATACAGTGCAGAAGAAAAATGCTATGAGAGTAGACAGGCCCTGGCACAGGTTGCCCAGAGAAGTTGTGACCACCCCATCCCTGGGAGTGTTCAATGCCAGGTTGGATGGAGCTCTGAGCAAGTGGAAGGTGTCCCTGCCCATGGCAGGGGATTGGAACTAGATGATCTTTAAAGTCCCTTCCAACCCAAACCGTTCCATGATTCTATAATGTGGATGTGACCCCTTCAAGGACTTCCCTGGTCAGTGGGGCTCACATGAGGTGGGTGACAGCCGTGGGCACACCTCTCTGCCAGGGTGGCCTGAGCCAAGCTGCTGCCTGCTGTTGTGTGGCCTCAGCTGCTGCTGGAAGGCACTCTGGGCCCTTGATTCCCAGTGCTGTGTGCCAGGGGAGCAGCTGACGCCTTCACAGGGCTGAGAGCTGCGCTGTAGAGGCACTTCCAAAATCTAGTGTGTATGTGCTGGTCAGGTTAAGCAAGGAGAGAGAGAGCTGGTTGCTAATCTCAGTGCTTGGGGTGAATGCCTTCCCTTCCCCACTCCAGGCTGTGCATGAGCTTTATTTTTCTTCACCCTGCACAGAATCTGCCATCTTCCCTTAGGACAGGCTCCTGCTGGTCTGGGTTTGCCTTCCTAATGTTTTCCAGCCTTGCTCCACTGCTGAGGTCTGACCTTAGTCTCCTGCTCCAGAGGGAGAGTACTTTCAAACCTTGCGAGCTGATCAATGAGCAGAAAACTGCGATGAGCTGAAGGAATCACTGTGCGCCCAATTGCCCTGGATGGCCTCCAACTCTGATCTCTGCTGCTTGGCCCTGTCCTGCCATGCCAGGGCAGGCACCTCCTAGATGTGCTGTGCATTGACACCAAGAGGGATCCATTTCCAGCACTGCCCAGTCCGGTGTGTCACTCCTGTCTGTGTACTGACAGTTTTGCCTTCCCTTGTACACAGTGTTTATGTATCTGCTGTTTCCCTAAGGTGAAGCTCTCCAAATAGAGTGTTTATTACTACTTTTGGGTGCTGTCTCTCTGCTAAAGCCCTTGCTGGGATTTTGCCATGCTTCAAAGCAAAGGACAGGATGCAGACACCTTTGAAATATTTGGGAGGGGCGGGAGGCTTGTGTTCCCATCTGCCCTCCTCGAGGCCATGCAGTCATCCCACGGCACCCTGAGGTCTGGACAAAGCCAGTGAGTGATTTCCTCTGTGTTGCTTTGGCATGTTAACAAGGCTTTGGGCACACCACAGTCACCAAGGGGAAGGCGGGGCAGTCTGGCTTGGAGACTGCTGGCACTGCTGCAAGCTGTTGTGCAGCTTGTGCCGTAAACATCGACGATTGCCATAGGATGCTGGGATGTGCCCTGGCACTGCTGTGGCAGCACAGAAGCAGTGTTATGGTGGGTGTGCCGTGCTGCTGTCCCTTTGAGGGCAGCTTGCATGCTGCAGCAGGCTCATGTCCCTGGGATCAGCTGTCCTGCCGTGGCAGAGTGCAGGGGACCAATGTCCTCAAGAGCGGTGCGGAGTCTTACGCTGGCACCAAGGGTGGCACTGCCATTGGCCATGTGGGTAGTGTTGGGAGGGATGGGCTGTGTCTGCCTCCTGTGGTGCATGGCTCTGCCAGGGCCACATGCCTTCCACTGCCAGCCTGTCCTTCGCTGACCCCTTCCCTGACCTCCTCACGCAGGGCCATCATGTGGCTGGCAGCCCCCAAAGGAGGCGGCGGTGGTGCGGGTCCGGCCCCGGCCGGGTGGCTCTGCCAGCCACGCCGCGCTGGGCAGTGCCCAGGGTCTGTGCTGGCACCATCCTTGTGCCCCAAGGACAGACTGGATCATAGTCACTGGTTTCCCCACTCTGCTCTGCCAGCTGGGGGCTGCAGTGCCCAGGGTCTGTGCTGGCACCATCCTTGTGCCCCAAGGACAGACTGGATCATAGTCACTGGTTTCCCCACTCTGCTGGCTGCTGGTCTCCTCTCAGAAGGATACTAGCATCTGCAAGCACCCCTGGGCATGGCAGAGGGGGGCTGGAGTCTGGATGGTGGGGCCACATGCCCAAGAAGGCTGAGGATAGAGCCTGCAGTGCCCAGGGTCTGTGCTGGCACCATCCTTGTGCCCCAAGGACAGACTGGATCATAGTCACTGGTTTCCCCACTCTGCTGGCTGCTGGTCTCCTCTCAGAAGGATACTAGCATCTGCAAGCACCCCTGGGCATGGCAGAGGGGGGCTGGAGTCTGGATGGTGGGGCCACATGCCCAAGAAGGCTGAGGATAGAGCACGGTCCTTGTCCCCAG